AAAAGAAAAAAAAAAAAAAAAAGAAAAAAGGAAAAAGAAAAAAGAAAAACAATCCCCGATTCGACCGATTAATTATACGACATTACCTTCAGCGCGTAAACTCCGAATCTGTGTCTCGAGGGGCCGGAACGCGTTCAGCGGCAGGTTCTCCAAGTAATTCCTACTAAGATCCAGCAGTCGTAGCTTCTTGAGCGGTCTGAACGCCTCGCTGGAGATGGCGTTGATCCAATTACCATAAAGATGCAGCTCCACCAGGCTGACCAGATTCTTGAACGTCACCTTGCCCACGATGCTGATTTGATTGTACGAGAGGTCCAATATCTGCAGGGACTTCAAGTCCTCTGGGAACTCGTCGAGCTCTTTCAGCAGATTGTGGGTCAGATTCAGGATCCTCAGATGCTCCATCCCTTGTAGCCTCTCCTTCGGCAGGATATCCAAGTTGTTGGTTCCCAGATGCAGAGTTAAGAGGTTGGGCAAGCTTCTAAATGCACCCGGCGACACTCGCGATATGCAATTCTGGCTCAAGTACAAGTGGAGTAGAGCAGGGAATGTCTCGAAGTCCTGGGACGTTACTATGCTGAGGTTCGTGCCTGATATGTGCACCTCTTGAAGAATCGGGTATTTCGCTTCCGACGGGAGAACGTGGATCCTGTTCAACGGATTTCTCGTTAAATTCAGCCAAGTTAGACCGGGAAGATTTTGCCCGGACAACGCCACCGCCGGTATTTGTCTGAATTTGTTCTCCGAAAGGTCGACTCTGCGCAGCATCGAGGAATGAGCGAAGAAATTCGCGGGAAGCGCGTTGAGATGGTTGTGACTGAGGTCCACGGAGACGAGGCAGGATAGATTGGCCGTGGCGAAGCCGGACATGGTCTCGATTCGATTGTGGCTTAGGTCCAATTCCCTCAGGTGTTTGAGGCTGGCGAAACTGGCCACGTCCACGTTCACGATCTCGTTATTGGATAGCGTGAGGATCTCCAGGTTCAAGGCGTCGGCCAAGGCCGAATACGGAATATCTTGGAATCGATTGTGGTCCAGTCTGATCTCCCTGAGGGACGCCAATCTGTCGAAGATGCCCGGGGGTAAATTCCGCAAATTGTTTTTGTTCAAGTGCAGCCGTGCCAGGTTTCGATTCAATACGAAGATAATCTCTGGTAACTGAGAGATCTCCGCTCTGTCCATGTATAATTCCTGCAGAGACGGCAGGCCGTTCAGGCTGTGCTCTGAGATTTGACTGAAATTGTTCCCGGATGCGACTAGAGTTCGCAGCCCTGAGACGTGCAGGTTGAACAAAGCAGGCGCCGTGAGGTGATTGTCGTCGAGATTCAAGTCGGACAAGTTATTGAGCTCACGGAACGCTCCGCTCTCTATACTTATGATGGAGCAGTTCTTCAGATTCAACGTTTTAATTGGCAGGCTATCTTGAAAGATGGCGTCGTGAAGGACGGTTAGATGATTATTCGCGAGATCCAGCACCTTCAGTTTCTTCAAAGCTGTCAGAGCGTAGGGATCCAACCGTCTGAGACCGTTGTCCTGAAGATACAATTCTTCCAATTCGTGCAGCTCGGAGAACGTCCGCGCAGTGATATGGCTGAGCTTGTTCATGCTCAGTTCGAGGAATTTCAGAGCCTGCATCGGTTGAAACGCGCCGTCCTCTATCCTGGATATCGAGTTGTTGGTCAGGTAGAGTCTCTCGACCAGCAGCAAATCCCTGAACAGCGGTGCCTGCAGATGCGTCAATTTGTTATGACCGAGCCACATGATCCTAACGGACGCCTGACCTCGTAGAGAGTCGTTGTGCAACACGGCCAGCCCGTTGCTGTCCAATTGAATGGAGACTAGCGAACTGCCGCCGGAGGACGACTCGGAGGCGGACAGCTGGAACACGTCGCCCAGAACGGCAAGCTGATTACCCTGCAGATTGACGTGTTGAAGACTGTGCAGCGTGCTCAACGCGCCCGTTTCCATGTCGGTGATGGCGTTGTTCTGCAGATGCAGCTCGAGCAACGACGGAAGCGGCGAAAAAACGCCGCGCTTCACCTCGGTGATGTTGTTGTCCTGCAACCGTAGCTCCCTCAGCTGATGCAATTTGAAGAAAGTGCCCGGCTGAAGCTCGTGAATCTTGTTGCCGTCGAGCGACAGGGAGGAGAGGTTCTCGCAGTGTTCGAGGAATTCCCGCGGCACCTTCTCGATGTAGTTGTTGCTCAGATGTAATTGAGCCAATTGGTTGAGACTAGTGAGACCTCTGCCGTCGATTCTTCTGATGGCGTTCTGCTGGAGATAGACAACCGCGAGACTCACGCTGCCGATAAACGCGTCCCCCGGGATCTCGAGAATATTGTTCTCCGCTAGGTACAATTCGCGCAATTCCGGCAACCTGGCGAACACCCCGCCGATGTAATGGATGTGATTATTGCTCAGCTCGATATTGCGCAGCCTCTCGTTTCCCTTGAACGTTGCCACGTCGAGAAACACGATCTTGTTGTAGCTGAGGTCGATCGACTCGAGCTCCTTGAGCGAGACGAACGCGTCTTTGTGGATCGTCTCTATGGAGTTGTAGTAGAAGGACAGCGTGTGTAAAATGGGGCAGGATCGCAGACAATCCTCGGACAGCTTCTCGAAGTTGTTGCTGCTCAAGTCTAGAATCAACAGCGAGCTTAGGTGACTGTAACTGTCGTCCGGCAACTCGGATATTTCGTTCCAGGCGAGCCTCAGGGAAGCGAGGCTCTCCAGTCTTCTAAGTGGCGCCATTGGGAACAGTTTCAACTTGTTCTCGGTCAGATCCAGATCACTGAGACTGTCCTCCAGCCCGGCGAACGCGTACTCCGAGATCTTTGATATCTGATTGCCCTTCAACGTCAGCTTCATCAGTTTCAACCCGTAGAAACAGTAAGAAGACAGGTCTTGTATCAAATTGCCCTCGAGGTCCAGAGCCGCGAGTTTACGCAGATCGGCCAACGATTTCTGCGGCACGTGGAGCAAACGGCTGGACAGGAGGGCCAACGATTCTAAACTCTCCTTGAGATACGCGAACGCGCCCTCGCTGATCTCTCGTAGCGACGAATGAGATATTTGCAGATGCCTGATCTGCGAACCAGGCGGGAAGCAGCCGTCCTTCAATTCCTCCACGGTTTTGTCCAATTCGTAAACGCTCAACGACTGAACCATTGTGCCCGTTCCTGCAAACGATCCGAAAAGATGCTGCCATTAATTTCACTAAATCACGATAATCGCGAGGAGGAACGTAGATGAACGATTAGATTCAAGCTCTTTAAATCTCGAGGCATTTTAAAATGATTTTAATTCGTCTGTGATTAACGCTTGCAAATATCGCAGGCCGATTCGATGAAATCCAACGGCACGGCGCAAGGAACGCTTTTGTCCCCCCCCATACATTTTCCATTATTGCAACCGTTGGTCAGCGGTTTCAATTCCGCTGTTTAATAATAGTCTGCGAAACAATAATAATAGTTTGTAAAACACAACAGTGCCATCGGTGTTGCGGAAACAAAACAGAATTGTTGGTCGTTCAACGACACATTTGATCGACTACGAATTTTGTATCCGTCGGTGGGAAACACATGCTCAATTTCCGGGCAAGCTGGCTCGACGTGTCGAAATGCAGCGCCCGACGAATCGGAACGGTTACTCTTTGAAGAAAGAAACCGTTTATTGCCTCCGATGGCACCGCCGTTATTGAATCAACCGGTACGTGACCTCGTCAAGAACTTGAAACGTTTAGAACGGCGCTGTCGCCGCGGCGTAGTGGCCCATTAAACCCTAATTGATCCGCTGTACAGGATTCGCGTTCCCTCCCTCCCTCTCTCACTCTCTCTCTCTCTCTCTCTCTCTCTCTCGCGCGCGCGCGTGCGTCCCGCCCCTCCTCCTTTCCTCCCGCCACCCGACAAATGGGCTACATTGTTATCCTGATTATAATAACAATCTCTCGGAGCGTGTTGGCGACGTGTTCCGATGTAGCTCGTTTCGTTAACGAATGAAAATTGGACTGCGAGGCGCGCTATATCGGGGGGAAAGTTTTTACGGCCGGGAACTCTCTCTCGCGCGTTTCACATATTCTCTCACACGGAGCGCAGCGCAGCGCGGCTCGGCTCGGCTTGGCTTGGCTCAGCTCTCGCGATGTTTGGCGCTGCGTTACGTTTCAAGCGTATCTCACGTATATCTCGCATGTATCTCGCGTGTACTCACCGGACGCGCTCAGAACGCTTAGCAGAGTGCTCCTCAGGGTGTCCTCGGTGGCTCCGGCGCATTCGAGAAAGAGGCCATCCTCGAAATTGTAACAAGGACAGCCGGGAATGGTTTCCGGGGGCGGGCACTCGGCTATCTGGCCGGTGATGCCCGTCGACGCGAAACTCTGCACCAGCAGAAGCTGCAGGATCAGCCGGAAGACGTTGGATGGTCTTCGTCGCCCCCGGGATCGCGTCATCGCGTCGTTGTCGTCGCCTCCGCTCGCGACCGGTCCTCCTGAAACGACAGAAACGCAGAAAGAATCGTTGAGACGATGGTTCCCTTTGAATTCGTTTCCTTATCGTTCGGCGATCGTAATTAAAAATTGCTTGACGAGTTTTATAGAGTAGGCTTCGAGGTAGGAATCGATTGTGCGATTGAAAGAGATTCTAAAGGCAGAATATCCGGACAAAAAAAGAGAAAGAGAGAGAGAAAGAGAGAGAGAGAGAGAGAGAGAGAGAAGGCAGAATTTCTTTAGAAAGTCCTTTGAAATAGCCTGTATATCGTCAATTATCGCGATCGATACAGCATTCCGGACGATAATGAACCAAGCCCGATAATAAGAGTGCCATCTCCACCTCTCTTTCACGATATTTTTTTCTCTCTCCCTTCGATCCTCTCGTCGTTCTTATTTGTCTTCGACATCGTCCACCGGACTGGAAAATATTAAGAGAGAAAGAGAGAAAGAGAGAGAGAGAGAGAGAAGGAGAGAGAGGAAACTGCCATTACCGATGTCTTGGTGTTCCGTCTTTTAATTACAACGAGCCTGAATGACTGCCGCGCAACGCTCACTGCGATTTAATAATCTTCTTGTTAGCTTAATGATAACGTCACTCCTTATCTGTTCGTTTCGTTGACGTTCCCAGAAATTGCACACACACCCTCGCCCCTCGGTGAACCGTACGCTCGTCCATCGTGTTATTTACTTGGCGTTAAAATGCGATCGCAACAACGAACCCTCCACCTCGTTGTCGTGTTCCTCTCGATAATTCTCGAGCTTCCTTGAGAATAGAATTTCCAACTCCGTCCGCGCCTCGACGTTAGCGATACTTTTTAACAGAAGTTTCAAAGTTTCGAAAAATGTAGTCGGAGAGGAGAAAAAAGTTTGTAGCGCGGATCAGAGAAAGAAAAAAGAGAGAGAAAAGAGAGAGAGTGAGAGAGAGTATTCGTCAGACGAGGGAATAAAGGTGAATCAAAAACCGGATAATTATAGCGAAGCGGGCTAACGCTTTTTATCCGGCACGTCGCGCTGCAGCCTCTACTAATTAAACGCTAATTAGCTAATGCAGGCTGGATTGTCAGGATCGAAAGGGGTCGGAAAAGAGAGAAACAGAGAGAGAGAGAGAGAGAGAGAGGGGAGGGGAGAGGGAATGCAGCCACGGTATCTTAACGCGCGTTTCCGCTCGGCTCGATCCGTTGATAATAATTTTGCAAGGAAACATCCTATCAAGAGGATCATTTAAATAGTCACCCGCGGTGACGTCGATGATTCCTAATGAGTCCCCGTCTGTGTGGCGTCCGGTTTTCATATACCGGAAACACGCGATTCAGTTATCGTGATGCTCTTACTTCTCTTATTTTGTTTTCACTCGTATTCTGTTAATATTCTGTTAATATTCTATTATGCTTCCCGTGTGTAAATTTGTTAATTATTGTGGAAAGCTCCACGTAACGTGTAGGTAACGAGTGATTCATTAGGTGTTACAACGACGAACGTTTAATTTTAACAACTCAAGCGTCTCGAACAATTCTCGCAGTTCGATGACTCGCTGGGGGAAATATTACTTAATTGATGCTGCAATCACGTAGGTCTTTTTATACGAGTTGCGGAGGCATGAAAATATAGGAGAACGTGTTACTGACAGTTGTGGTTTAGAAATTAGGTTTTTCTGACGAATGGCCAACGAACTTCTGGTGAAGAGTTTCGTGAATCTATTTATTAACCCTCGGATTTATTTAAAACTCTGATTGTTATATTTTTTAGAACAAATTTTTGGAGTTGAAAGGATTCAATTTTCGATATATTTTTTAAACAAATACAAATAGCTTCAACGTAGTTTGATTGATGCAATAATATCGACGTGTAAAAATATAGATAAACGCCTGTAATAAGAACTATTTTCTTCGTTACACTACACTGTTTCGAAAGCTCTGTTCTCGATCATTTATTCTCAATCCTCTTTCGATCACCGTTACATCCCGTGTAATCCGTCATTTCCTGCTAATCGATCAGCGTGTTAAGTAAAGTTTCGTCCTCTTGGTGAAATAATTTCTAGCTTTCGTTGACCGATTTCAGCGGTTATAGATTGCTCGGCCACCGTTAATGTATCACATAAATAGCGATCTTCCGGCGAGCCGCGCAGCCGGGACACACGGGTTTCCGTGCGAGACACATTCTGAATACAGCGATTTCCTGCAATAACAATCGCGGAATTATGCATGCCAGTTGTGTAGGCCGCGGATCTGACGCTCATTCTGTCGCATCTGCCGCACTGTGGATCATGGCTGGTACCAGCAGCCGAACGACAGGTGCGCCATGTACCTGAGAAATATCGGGCAATCTTCCGGGAGAGCGACCTCGAAAGAAACTCCGCAATTCCTTCTGAACCGTGTAATAAACTGCGAATGATCTCGTCACTTTGCTGTGAGATTAAAGCATTTAATAGCTGCGTTGCAACAACATAAATTTGTGGATTTTCTTATTAGGTATGGGTTAGGTTTTTCATTAGGTAAATTTAGATTTTTCATTGTTAATTTTTTTTATATCGTTAATTGCGAAGGAATCTTCCAATTTCTTTGACAATTTTTTAGTTAATTAAAATTTCTGACTTAACGAGTTTACAGAAATTCTGAAAGAACGTTGCGAGAAGTTCTCTGAAGTCTAACTATGTTTATAATACCGCGACGAACCAAACTTTCCCAGACCATCAAATTTCTGAATTTCTTGCGAAGCTTGTGTACATGATTTATTACTTAACTGGAAAGTTCCACCAATGACCAACGCTGCACTTAACGTGTTAAGATTTCGCTCTCCGGTGACCGCTAATTGAAAATTCGGAACAATCCGGGCGTGCACGAGCTCGTGCAAATTGATAAGTTTACCTTGTAAACCCGCCGATAAGTTTCGAGTTTAAGATGCTACGGAACTTAAATTTCGATACGCGGTATCTGTCAAGTTTATACGTTAAAGTGCTGTCTAATGAGTTCTGAGTCACCACCCGCCCCCTTGAGTTTAAATCCCGCTTGAATTACGCGTTCGGAGCGTTTAAGAGTGGAAATTCTACCTCTATTTCTCCTCGATCTTGACCTAATCCCCGTCCGACTCTCCGAGCTTCCTCCAACCGAGCTGAAAAATCGGCGAAACAAACAAAGTTTCTTCCCGGTTTCTTTTCTCGCTGAGCCGGCCGACTGAATACATATTCGTCGTGACGCAAGAAGCATAATTTCCGGGGCAAAATATAGAGGCGAGCGCCCCGAGTGCGGGATCTCTTTTTCACGATCTGCACGCCGAGTTTTCGACACGATGCTAACCCCCGTAACCACTCAGCGCGTTAAATGGCCTACCCGTGTTCCCCCGCCAACGTTCGTGCGGTCGAAACACAAAAAGCGCGGGAAACCATTCGCAGTTGCAGCTGCATAAAAACCGCTAGGGAACCGCTTATTTCGCGGTTTGCCTAGCGGTCGGTGTTGCGTAATTTTCTTCCCCTCGTATTCTCGTAGTTCCACTACGAGATAACGATAACTGCTACCACCGCGGTAAGATGTTCCCTCCACTTTTAATTGGAAATCGCAGTCCTTCGAGTGAAAACGATCGCGCGTTTTGCTGTTTGATGAAATGACAATTTACTGAATGCTACGTTGCAAGTGTCCTTGGTGGATAGTGAGGGACAAAATTGAATATAACACTCGATAAAATACAAAAAAGAAAATTTTGCCATCGTGTTACTGTTCGCCATTCTGGCAGATGCAAACAGTTTTCGTGGAGATCAGTTCTCTACCGCAGTTAATTTCAATGAAGAATTATCGATACTTTAAACTGTTGTAATTTCAGATTCTTAAATGATTTTATTTTAGAATTTTTCATCATTTTCTGTTCAGCTCTTCACTTATACATATGAATTTTAGATACGTGAGAGAACTCTGAAGTGGAAGGATCTTGAATTTTAGATGGCAAACACCAAAACCTTTGTTTGCAAGCTTCCATTGAAATTGTACTGTCGGTTTTTATGGTATGATAATTATCACACGCGTTATTGACGAAGCTTAACTCGCAGAACAATTTCGTTCATTCGTTCGTCTTTCGTCCTTTTAGACTTATCACTATTTTACTTATACTTATAGATTAAAATTCGTTTACTCGGATTAGCGATTAACTTTATGATTTTGATATTAAGCTCAACCATTTTGCAGTTTAACAGTAGCTACATAGAGGAAACAAGGGATCAAAGTTTGCATTACATCGAATAGATTTAATCCTGCAAGTGCTCTAGGTTCGCGTCATAAGCAGCAGTAGTACGATCAGTATGGTGCCGACTTTGCGGCCACGTATTTGGTATCTATAGCAAACACCATCGCATACCATTATCGATCGAATAGCTATAACATAATATTGTAATTCTCTATCAGTTCTCTAAATTCTACTTCTGTTTCAAACTCGTATTCACATCGTAAGTCGAGACTTTTTGCACAATTCAAAGCACGAGACGCTCATCTCGTTCGCTATAATTTGACATAAAAATCCAAACTTTCTTTTCCCTATTTTTATCTCTAATTCCTCCACAATTCTCCACTTTTTCTCTATAATTGCACAAACAAAGCACATAGGTACAAACTTTTGAAATTGGATTAATATTTTACAAATCCGATTAATATTTTACAAACTCGTCTATTATTTTTCGGATTAAACACCTCAAAAAAAAAAAAAAAAAATGTTTCACCTCGATCAATATCACGCGCAGTGATTTATTCGACGGGAGCAACGAATAAATAGAAAATACCCGATTGTCGCTAATCTGGTAAACGAGTGCAATATTCAATAAATTGTTAACACTTACAGATATCCCTGTCGCGAAGCTTCTCTTCTTTTATAACGCGAATTGTCGATCTATTCATATCACTGCCTCGCGAAAAGATTCAAGAAACGTTTCGACGTTTTCCCTCTCTTTCATATTTGTCTCGATTTATCCAACTTTCACAACCGATGTAAAGATTTTTTCATCCTTCCACACCCGTGTTGC